TTCACTGTAACAGGATGCACTGGGAATTTCACAGGCATAAAGATTTATGAGCTATGCATGTGTATTGGCAAAATAATTCACGAATGCCTAAGCAGAATCTCCAAGTGAACTGAGTCCTGTAAACTTTCATATATTAATTAACATTTTCAAAAGACTTTCCTGGTAGCTGTCAATGTTTACAGTAATATAATTCTTTGTCAGTTGTCATTCCCTTGGAGCTACTCAGAAGGCAAAGAAAGAACTCTAGTAAGAGAATGTGACAGAACGCTAAATGTTCTTATGCTTTTAACTCATCAGATTTGCAGCTGAGAATTCACTGAAATTCTACAGTTGTCACCTACCACATAGCAACACTCCAATTTCCATATTTGAATGCAACTGTTAACTATGTAAGTACTTAATTTTATGAAGTGAAAAAGGAAATCATAGAAATGGTGACTTACTCAGTGAATATGTGGCGAAAGCTGTAATCCTATACTCACATATGGGAGAGCAAGCCCCACTGAACTCAAGCAGACATGTTTCAGAAAAAAATTATATTATTATTTCTATCAAAAGCTGAAATATAAATGTCTGATCTAGTTTTTCATATTTCTCTTTTGCTTTCCTAATACTAGAATTGTTCTAATTCATTTAAAGGCATTCAGTTGTGCATTTACAGGTGTAGCTGAAATTTCACAGCTATAAATTCACAACACCAATGGCCACTCTGGGGCCAGAATAAAGAAGGGGAGCCAGGAGGACGTTGCCATCTTGTTCCCTGTGACATCAGCGCCCCTCCCCCAACACCAACTGCCACTCTGGGGCCAGAATTGTTTTTATACTATGTCTTGAATTTTGTTGTTCCTATGTTGTACACCGCTGTGAGTCGCCCCTGGGCTGAGAACAGCGGTATATAAGCAAAGTAAATAAATAAATAATAAATACATCTTGGCCACCCCCGTCCCAATCTATGTGAAATGAATCAAGAAGTTGTGGGGCAATGCAGTTTATGTATTCTATAACTTTGATACAATAATTTAGCTGAAGTATAAACCTTTGCCCATCTCTGATTAGACAGTCTTTAAGGCAAATAACAACAATTGTGTACTACTACCATGATTGAACTGTCATGGTTAGGACCTTCAAGGAGCTGGAAGAATGTTTTATATATTGAGGCAGAAGAAGTTGCCTTTTGCCTAACCTCTTGTGAAACTCTTGTGAAGCTCTTTGCACAACTGTATTTGGTGGTACCCTTCTGCCAACACTGAAAGTATGCAACTGTGATGTTATATAACTGGACAACCTCACCTGTTTTGATGATACATTTTCACTTTGTTCAGCAACACCAGAGTAGTTAGCTTGCCTTAAACCCCAGTGCACTGTTAGCTAAGAACAGTTGAACAATAATTCAGTTTTCTAAGGGATAACATCCAAAAAGGGCAATATTATAAAATCAGAACTAATGACAAAACCATATTGTATGGAAACATATCTGAAATTTATTTACATACAGAATTTTGCCAGTTTAATTCTGTTCCTTTAGTTAACTTGTGAAGTTTAACACTTTTGCCAACTGGAATAAAGGAGTTTCCTCTCTTTTAATAAGGCTGTTGGCTTCCATGACTTTTCTTGCCACGTAACATACTGAAATATGTTGTTTCTGAACCATGACCGCATCTTTGAATCTTAATATTTTTTTACCTTTCTCTTGCCAGTTCAACTGCATTACTAATGTGAAATAGGTTTTACATAGCCACATATATAGTACAGAGAAAATAGGTTTTTAAAACATTACTTTATCAGATCTTAAGGAAAATCGTAGCAAGGAAGGAATCTAGTAGTACCATAAGTCTAACTGATTTGTTTCAATATGAACTTTTGTGGATAAATGGAAAAAGTTAATCATATATGATGCTTTGAACAATTGATTCCTCTTATTTCTTATGCAGAATATCAATACACAAAACAGCCACAATTGTGCTAGAGAAAGTTGCTGTATCGTATAGCACTAAGCTCAGTAAATAAAACTATGCTAAAATGCAGTGGTTCACATGTTAGAGTGCATGCAGTGCATAGAGATATTGATTTAAGGAGTAAACATGCCAATGGCTTGAAGAAAGAAACTAAAGTTTTTTATAAGAATTCTTTTCCAAGATAGGATTGTGACTCAGGATGCTGATCTAACCTAACTAAATATCAGAACATCAAGAGAAGACCCATGAGATGAAAAGGAGGTGGAGAAACATCCCTAAGAGTATCCGTTTATATCACAGAAGAGTCGGAATAGCTAGACATAGAGGGAGGATGCTTCAGGTCACTCAAACTATTGAACCCTCTTACTACTGCCTGCTGTGAGGCATTCTTCACTCTTTTGTGCTAAGCACTGTCACATTTACAATGTCACATGTGTCTTCTTAAATCCTACTTATCTCCCAACTTTCTACTCTTTTTTTTTTTTTTTGCAAAAAAAGGGACTTTTCTAGGATGTTTCAAAAGCTAGACCAGGGGCAGTTTGGAT